GGTAGGACGTATCCCAACTGTATCTAGAGGGGCTGGAAGAGGCGGCCCTCATCCAGATTGTTTCCTCTAAGTCATCTGTCTAGGCTGTCGGAGAGCGGAGGCTTTGGAGCCCACGTTTGCTGGTTTTGCTGGGGCTCTGCAGAGCGGCGCACTGCATGACAACTTCATGCCACGATGCTCGATCCGTAATTCGTACGTGATCGGAGAAAGGCCAGCTGCATTAAGCCAAAAACCCGGAGGCATCGACGCACGCCGCCGCCGACTCAGATAACGCACCAATTGTCGGCTGCCGGACGAGAAGCCGTAAGACAAAGGTGGGTGGGACAGAGTCCGTCAGGCAATACTTCGCATGGATTGTCATGTTGGGGTTGGGCTATGAGCTTGCCAGATGGGGATTTGTCAGGCAACAGTTCATCTCGCGTAAGTTCTGCATAAAGTTCATCCGGAACAAAAGTTCGTACACGGCAAAAGGGTATTCGCATTCATTCATTCATTCTTCGCAGATGTTCGCATTGGTCAAATGTCCGTATAAATCAAAAGTTTGTGGCCTAAATTTTGTCCGGGGCAAAAGTTTGCGTCACGAAATTTCGTCCGTGGCACACATCAGTGTTTAGTTCCGATTTCGTGGCATCAATTCTGAGTGCATTACATAGTACTCGGAATATATTCTGACTCGGGAGTTATCGTTATATCCTTATCGTTATCGTTATGCCGGTCTCCGGCCGCCTGTTACACCTTAAAGCGACTCGTTTTTTCCGATTCGACGCCTTTCTTCTGTAATTATTCCCTGCCGATGATTCCCTTCAAACGAAATACTCTTTGGAACCGCAGCATAATCCACTTGACCTTCATCATTAGCCTATTGTTACCGCAAACCCGCAGCTTACCGTTTCTAGTATATCGTTTGATAACTTACAGCGGAGCACCAGCCTGCCTGTTACCCAAGCGGCACCAATCCCGGAGCATGCAGCACAGCTCTGGAGGGTACAGCGGAGCACCAGCCTGCCTGTTACCCAAGCGGCACCAACCCCGGAGCATGCAACACAGCTCTGGAGGGTACAGCGGAGCACCAACCTTCCTGTTACCCAAGCGGTACCAATCCCGGGGCATGCAGCACAGCTCTGGAGGGTACAGCGGAGCACCAGCCTTCATGTTACCAACTACGGCACCAATCCCGGGGCATGCAGCACAGCTCTGGAGGGTACAGCGGAGTACCAACCTTCCTGTTACCCAAACAGCACCAATCCCGGAGCATGCAGCACAGCTCTGGAGGGGAAGATCACAGGATGTGTAAGGCCGACTGGCTGGAGCCCACTTGACTTCAGAGACACGCGCGCTTCAGACATTCCTCATTCCTTTGTGACATGGCTGCGCTCGTTGGACCGGCCAGGATGCTTGGCCTAGGCAAGCTTACCACAATTTTAGCAGGTTTTAGATTTCCAAACTGTTTTGGCAGTGCTTGGTTAGGTAGATATTCGTATTCTCTGTAAAATGATATACGGAGTAGGTAGGCACCCACCAAGCCACGCACACGCCATTAAGTCATTTACCTTTCTATTGTTGTTCTCTGCCCAATTTTGTATCCACGATTCTAGATGGGCGGCATCCGATGGGGTCTCAAGAAACTCCCTGAAAATTAACGTGACGCTGGCGGTCTCCACGCATTGTCACAGGACTTCAGTTCTGGGAGGCGGATGTAATGGCACAGCGGCCAGCCCGGATGTCGACTCCATGCATGCGTCAGTGCGCGGTGTCACGCGCGGGAGCGTTAGGCGGGTGCTCGTGTACGGTCAACAACTGCCGTTGAGCCGTGCCCGTCAGGTCTGGAGATAGCCTAGAGACGGCTCTGCCCGTCAGGTCTGGAGATAGCCTAGAGACAGCTCTGCCCGTCAGGTCTGGAGATAGCCTAGAGACAGCTCTGCCCGTCAGGTCTGGAGATAGCCTAGAGACAGCTCTGAACACGCGCACCAGGGGAGATCAATTTGATCTCGAAAGCTTTTCGAAGATTACGTCCGCAAGACGCGACCACGCCCAACTTTACGTAACTGTACACAATTGAACACCGGATGTTTTGGATGATAAGAATGAGAAAAACCTTGTTCGGTGGCTAACCTAAGCCAGGTTAAATTCAGGCTGTGGCTGGTAGCGAATGTCATTTCAAGAATATCATTCAACCTGATGCAACAACAGAGTGCTAGACGAAGCAATGCATCTCGACAAAACCCTCTAAAACAATAAGGCAATGCAATTCAGGATTACGACAGATTCCACCGACCTTATCCTAGGTATAAAGGCCAGACCGAGATCAAAACCAACCCGCTTTTTCTGGAAAGCTTGCGTGAATTGGGTAGTTTCTGATGCCTACTTCGAAGTTCTTGATAACAAGGATTACAAATGAAATCACCCGCAGATCTTCTGAGGGTAAGAGTAGGTCGCTGACATAAAACGAAACATACCAATCGTTTTTTGGAAACATCGCGTCTGGCGTAGTCCTTGTCGCTACTTCAAATAAAACTTTAAAAAATCTTACAGGGGTTTGGTTATCACGGCTTCCTAAATATCAAACAAGGCCCGATACCAAAGATTAACACCAATGACGTTTTGCTTGGAACAAGTACCTGTTTTAAAGCATGTTCTTATTATCTCATAACAGGAAGAATATTGAACTTTATCTCGCTTGACCTTATTTGACCCAAATGCTATGACCTAGTAACATCAAATTTGGACAAAACTGAGCTCACATACGTGCCCCCTCCCCCCCCCCCCCCTGTGACTTTGGTGTCTCTAGCTCTTTCAGCTTTTTTTAGATTTCTGCGGGGTCAGACTGACCGCACCTAAGAGCGTGGTATGCAGCCGGCCACCCGGACGGTGCTAAAAGCCGGCCGGGGCATCGCAAGTCCTGGAGCTTTATGCCATATCATGGTAAATTGACGCAGCAGAATCTGAAACAGGTCAAGAAGCTATTTCTCTTATAAAGGCGTCCTCCGAAATTTAGAATACAAACTGTTTATACCAGCGTATTTTCAGGCATGCTCGGTGACCACGATTTCTGGACCAAGAAGATCTCATTTTGAAACGAATCCTTCAGATCAGAGGTCAGATAGACTCCACATGGATGGATGGAATGTTGGTATTGATTTTTAACGCTTGGAAAATGCGCCAGGTTTATTCAATATCAGACATCTATCGCATTTTGAAAAGCGACCTGAGATATGCTTCCACCAACCTGACCCAACCGAATGATCACTGGTCCCCGCCGAGTCACACCAGCCCTTACATGCAGGAAATCAGCATCTGACATCAACGCTTACGTGCATGAAATCAGCATCTGACATCAACGCTTACATGCATGAGATCAGCATCTGACATCAATGCTACATGCGCGAGATCAGCACGCCATTCGTCACCAATTTTTACTCGCCAAAGACACACCTTTTTTAAGTCACGTGACTGACGTCGTTTGCACAACACCCCGACATGCTTGCTAATTTCACCAGGGCAGCGGCAAGCGAGGGCAGTACAGGGC